AAGGTGATCATCAGGTCTGCTCATAGGGTACTTAGGTGGTGGAAGTTAGGTCAAATTAGAGAGATAGTAGGATGCTTAAGGGGGTAGTCAGGGGTGGCAGCAATCAAATCTGGTTGGTGAGTGGGGGTTCTGCTCAAGCAAAGGTGCTGGTAGGATAAGACCAAGAGGGTGGTCAGTTGGTGGAGCTAGGTCTGCTTGTGAAAGGTAGCCAGGTCAAGCCACAGAGTGTGGGATCGAGGTGAATAGTTGCTAGTTGGAGAGTGTCAGACAATAGTTTGGAGGGGGTGGGGGACTGTTTCTGTTGTCACCCAGGAGTGAAATTGAAACCTTTTCGTTTAACATTTGCTGGCTAACTACAAATATAAGTAGCAAATTATGCTCAAATTTCAAACGATACATGTTGACTCTGATTGGCAACGGCATTGAGCTGAGAAATGAACGAGATCACACCAGAAACGTCACCTAATCATATTGGACTTGAAATGTTAACTCTGTTTCCTCCCCTGCAGATGCTGCCAGACCTGCTGGGTTTCTCCAGCACTTTCTCTTTTTATTCAGACATACAGCCTCATAGTATTTCGCTTTTAATGGCTGTCACCTATTTTGTTCAGATGAAACAGGGGCAGTCTGTATATCTTTTCTTTCTGCAAAGTTCAGAGCCCTGGCTTACAATTTAATCAAAGCTTGGCAGCTGTCTGTCTGTCATCATCCAACTTGTGCATTCTAATGGAACACCTCCACCAATCAACACTCTCTTCTTATAAAACATAAAATGGTTATTTCTCCCTTACATTGGAATTTCTTACAAATTGTCCTGATGAATGCAAGATGAAAAGCTTCACAAAATGTGAGACTTTTTCAGCAACACCCAAGTTCAATACTACCAAACAACTATAGAGGTTAGAACAGTGAAACTGTCTGAACTCTCAAAAGTCTCCAAACCCAAGTTGGAGGAGTTTCCCGGGGAATGGAGAATTACCTATCAAACTTAGCTAGTTTGAACTTCCTGACAAACACCAGGAGCACAGCTCTTCAGGGCTCCTGTGGTGTCTTGGCCTTAAATTTGGTTTTCAATGATCTGGAGACTGGAAGATCATGGCTACTGTATTATTAAGTTTAAAATCTCACCATTCTACTGACAGTAGCTGAAATGTTTCAAGCTTGAAGTATCTTTCATATCATCAAATAGATGAGCCATGTGGTCTATTCAGTCTGCACATGTCTTTGATCCATAATTTTCAATCATGACATTGCAATTCGCCTCCTATTGCCACTACTCAATTAAACGCCTGTCTATTGCACTCTTTCAGACAATTCAAATTCTAGCACAGGCAGGAATTTTCCTTTTGGGATCAAACGAAGTTCCCAGCACTACAGTCAACCGAGTCGGTGTTGGAAAAGAGCCTAATTACCTTCACTTAGCTAATAATTGCTTAAAGCCAGACAGCATTTCACCCTCCACCTGGCTTTCTCAAAAGTGACTCAGGCCAGAATGGTTCTGCCGAGCCACACTGCCACTGGCAAATTCTGAAGGCAGCCCATTGTGGGCCCTGAAAATCCAGCTTCCCTGTTTGAGGTGTCTCAGGAATCCAGATAACAAGAATGATACCATTCCTGAACCTGTTTCCTTTAAAAGTTAGTTTCCCAGGGCTATTTTCCCTGGAGCATCGAAGACTGAGAGGTGACCTTATAGAGGTTTATAAAATCATGAGGGGCATGGATAGGGTAAAATAGACAAGGTCTTTTCTGCAGGAGGGGGGCAGGGGAAAAAGTCCAAAGCTAGAGGGCCTAGGTTTAAGGTGCAAAGGGAACGATTTAAAAGGGATTTAAGGGGCAACTTTTTCACGCAGAGGGTGGTGCACGTATGGAACGAGCTGCCAAAGGAAGTGGCGGAGGCAACATTTAAAAGGCATTTGGATGGGTAATGAATAGAAAGGGTTTAGAGGGATATAGGCAAAATGCTGGCAAATGGAACTAGATTTATTTAGGATATCTGGTCAGCATGGACGAGTTGGACCAAAGGGTCTGTTTCCGCGCTGTTCATCTGTATGACTCTAATGATTATGACTCTTACTTAGCCAGGAACAGGCTGGAAGAATCACACTTAACAAAATCCAGATCAAAGAATCATTATCACATATTGAAGAACCACACGCAGCTTACAAGCTGACAAGCACAACAGAGTAGAACATGACCATCACAAGTCTTACTACCTTCCTCCAAGATTAGACAAAGCTTTTACTTAAAATCTATCGTAATTTAGTTCCACACTGACAATCAACTCTCATATGATAAATCATATTGTTAAATTCGGATCATATAGTATGCGCTCCAAAACATTAGGCTCTTGCAAACAATACAAACCATTAACGTTGAAATATTAAAAGTTTACTTGAGCTAAAATGTTTCACTTAGAACATTTACAATACTTTATCTATCTTACTTTATACTGAAATAATGAATAATTGTTATTAGAATATTTGTACAATGGAACTATTGACAGGGTCTATAGAGTATCACATAATATATCAATATTATATATTCTAGAATTTTATAGCACAACGTACTGCTCGTGAATGTTCAAATAAAAATACTGTGTTCACTACTAAAAATTGAAAAACAGCATTGTTTTTATTTCAGAGATAGCAAGGCCTGCAGATGCTGTAGCCAGAGTCAATACAGTGTGGAGATGGTGGAACACAGCAGGTCAGGCAGCATCAGAGGAGCAGGAAAGTCGACGTTTCAGGTTGGGACCCTTCATCAGGACTGGGGAGGGGTCAGAGAGCTGGAAAATAAATAGAGGGAGGAGGAGTGGGGCTGGTGCAAGATAGGTGGGATGGTGATGGGTGGATGCAGGCTGGGGGTAGTGGGGATTGGTCAGTGGGAAGGGTGGGGCGGATAGGTGGGAAAGAAGATGTACAGGTTGTATCAGATCAAGGAGGTAGGGATGACAGGGAGAGTTGGACAGGGGATGAGGCCGGGGATGGGGAGATTTTGAAACTGGTGAATTCTATGTTGAGGTCATTGGGCTATAGGCTCCTGAGCCGGAATACGAGGTGTTGATCCTCCAGTTTGCATGTGTTGTCATTGTGACACTGGAGGAGGCCCAGGATGGACATGTCACCAAGAGAGTGGGAGTGGTAGTTAAAATGGTTGGCAACCAGATAGTGTTGTTGATCATATTGTACAGAGTGCAGATGCTCTACGAATCGGTCACCAAGTCTGCGCTTGGTCTCGCTGATGTAATGGAGGCCACAGATACAGTAGACCAGGTCGGGGGATTTACAGGTGAACCCCTGTCAGATTTGCAAAGTTTGTCTTGGGCCTTGTACGGAGGTGAGGGAGAGGTGTAGGGGCATGTTTAGCAACTCCTGCAGTTGCAGGGAAAGGTGCCGGGTGCTGGTGGGGTTGGTGGGGAGTCACTGGGTTTGAAATGGATGTCGGTGCAGTGACGGTTACTGGAGATGGAGATGGAGAGGTCCAAGACATGGAGGGAGGTATCAGAGATGGTCCAGGTAAATTTGAGGTTGGGGTGAAATGTGTTGGTAAAGTTGTATGAACTGTTCAAGCTCCTTGTGGGAGCACGAGGCAGCGCCAATACTGTCATCAATGTAGTGGAGGAAGAGGAGAGGGGTGGTGCCAGTGTAACAGCGGAAGAGGGACTGATTCATATATCCTACAAAGAGGCAGCCTCAAATTCACCTGGACCATCTCCAATACTTCTCTCCCGTCCCTGGACCTCTCTGTCTCCATCTCCGGTAACTGTCTCAGCACTGACATCTATTTCAAACCTACCGACTCCCATATCTACTTTAACTACACCTCCTCTCACCCACTCTCCTGCAAGAATGTGATCCCTTACTCCCAATTCGTCCGCCTCCACTGCATCGGCTCCCAAGATGAAGCGTTTCACTCCCAGACATCCCAGATGTCCTCCTATTTCAAGGACTGCAACTTCCCCCCCTCTGCTGATCCACAATGCCCTCAATTCCATCTCTTGCGTTTCCCGCATTTCTGCCCTCAAACTCCCTCCCCCCAATGAAAATAAGGATAGAGGCCCCCTGGTCCTCACATACCACCCCACCAATCTCCACTTCCAGCACATCATCCTCCGCCACTTCCGCTACCTGCAATCCAACCCCACCACCAAAGGGATATTTCCCTCCCTACTTCTATCTGCCTTTCGTAGGGACTGCTCACTCTGCGACTTCCTCATCTACTCCACACTTCCCAACAACGCCACCACATCAGGCATGTTTCCCTGCAACCACAGGAGGTGCTGCACCTGCTCCTATGCCTCCCCTCCCCTATAGGCCAAAGACAAACTTTCCAAATCTTCCAACCTGGTCTACTGTATCCGTTGCTCCCAATGCGGCCTCCTCTATATCGGTGAGACCATGCGCAGACTCAGTGACCGATTTGCAGAGCATCTGCGCTCTGTATGCTAAATCAACAACACCTTCTGTTTGCCATTTTAACTCCCACTCCCACGGTGACATGTCCATCCTGGGCCTCCTCCAGTGTCACAATGACACTACATGCAAACTGGAGGAACAACACCTCATATTCCGGTTCAGCAGCCTACAGCCCAATGACATCAACACAGAATTCACCAGTTTCAAAATCACCCCACCCCTGGCCTCATCCCATGTCCAACCCTCCCTGTCATCTTCACCTCCTTGACCTGACACAACCTGTCCATCTTCTTTCCCACCTATCCACCCTACCCTTCCCACTGACTATTCTCCACTACCCCCAGCCTGCATCCACCCATCACCATCTCACCCACCTTGCCCCAGCCCCACTCCTCCTCCCTCTATTTATTTCCCAGTTCCCTGTCCCCTTTGCCAGTCCTGATGAAGGGTCCTGACCAAAAACATCGACTTTCCTGCTCCTGTGATGCTGCCTGACCTGCTGTGTTCCTCCAGCTCCACAGTATTGACTTGTTTTTATTTTAGGCTGATTAACACTAATCAATAGCATTACCTGTCAAACCATACCTTTCATATTTTGACTGTAGGCCTGAAAGTTTGAAGGCAAGGGAGGAAAAGAATAATATCCTCCAACCACAGACCTTTCCAGAAAATCTGTCTTATGTTGTGATTTTGCCCATTGAATAAATCTTCTAACTGTAGTGTCAGTTGTGTATGGTCTTCCTTTGTGATAACCTGCACGCAATAATTTTCACAAATTATTTGGAGTGGTATTTAAGATTTAAAAACCCTATCATTTTTTAAAAAAAATCAACCACTGGTTTAATATGCATATTTTTGTGGTTTAAAATTGCATTGATATGAATGTTGGGGTAAAGGACAGCCTGAACTGGTTTATTTAACTAACATAATAACACTGTGCACAAGAAAGCAATATTCTCTTTGTGATGATTCAGTTACACACACTAGGTTCATCATAGGTGGACGCCAACAATGTAGACATTTAAAAATGAATTTCAATCCAATTAAGAACATTCATTGGAAAGCATATGAAAGAAACAATCGATAGGAACACAATATGATCACAGTGCAGCCAGTAGCCCCGAAGAAAGATATGGTGGTGTCACAAACATTTGCCAAGATACACTCCTAGTAAAATCACGATGATGTGTTGTGGATGGAGAACATAAAGACCATGATCAAGATCAACTAAAGGTGGAAGTAAATTCACAACTATTCTGGTTTATTTCCCTTTTGAAGTAGAGCTACTCAGATATTAGAAGAGGATAAGTTCATTTCATATCTTTTCATGATATTCTGCACATATTACATGTACAAGCTTACATTTAAATTTGAAAATATTTTAAGAGGTTTCTTTTATATTTGTTCATGGGATATGGGTGTCACTGGCCAGGCCAACGCTTATTGCCTATCCCAAATTGCCTAAAGGGCAGTTAAGAGTCAACCATATTGCTGTGGGTCTGGAGTCACATATAGGCAGATTTCCTTCCCTAAAGGAAATTACATGGTTTCCCTGACAACTTACAATGGATAATGGCTTTTATTACAGTGACATTTAAATCCAAATTTTACTGAATCCAATGGATGGACTTATACATATGCTCCCACCATGGGTTTTTAGATTATTACATCACTACCTCCATTATCTTAATAAAACTTGGATAAAGAAAGCTGTTTGAAAAGTGAAGCATGAATATTCCTAAATTAGTTTTCCGGAGTTCTCTACCTGAAGGCAGACTGATATACAGCACCACACCACCACATGATAGTGTGAATGGCTTCCTCCTGTGCAATAACTTTTCTATGGATAAATTGTGTCCTTGTCAGCAAAGCAACTGTAATCAAACACATCACCTGAACCTCTCTTATCAGAAACACATTCCATAACTAGGAATGGAAAATGTCTCTTAAGATCTGCCACATTTACTCGCTGTATTGTAAGTATGCAACAAGATGGTCTATGATGCGCAAGGATACCTTTAATTTGATTGGAGGGAGGGAGGTTATTATGTTAGTTTACTGGCAGAATTCAATTCTAATGGAGTCGAATATATCCTTTAATATATAATAACATATATTTGGAGAAGGAGTGCTCCTTTTGGTGACAATGTCCTCACTGGGAAGCATCCATGCCATATCATTTTTAATTCATTCACGAGGGCTTCACTGGCTAGGCTAGCAATTATTGCCCCATCCCTAATTGACAAGACGGCAGTTGAAAGTCAACCACATTGCTCTGGGTCTGGAGTCACAGGTAAGGATGTCAGATTTCCTTCCCTAAAGGGTATTAGTAAACCAGAAGGGTTTTTGCTGACGATCAACTATAGCTTCTTGGTCATCATTAGACTTTTATACAGATTTTTATTGAATTCAAATTCCACTATTTGCCATGGCGAGATTAGAACCCAGGTCCCGAGAACATTGCCTGGGTCTCAGGATTAACAGTCCACTAGGCCACTGCCTCCCCTCACTGTGAAGGCATAACGTCAGGCTTCATTGCAGATATGAATGCTCATGAGTTCCTTAGATTAAAACTACATTCTCTTTCCGACCTACTCTACAGAGTTGTGGTCCATGAGCCTGGCAAAAAGAGTGAGTGGTGACCACGTGAGTGTGGTAACAGAGGGATGATGGTGGCATGACTCTGATTGGAAGAGGGATTGGTATGGAAAATACACTCCTTAATCATGATTAACAATTAACTGTTGAGTTTTGATCTTTCAACAAAAAACAGTTTTAAAATTAGGGGTTGCCCTTTTAATACAGAAATTAGGAGGTTCTTTTCTCCGAGGGCTTTTGGAACTGTTTGCCGCAGAAAGAGAAGAGGTGGGGGTCCTCCAATATTTTCAAGGCAGAGGTTGAGATTGACGATTGTTAGGCAAGGGAATCAAAGGTTATTGTAGTAGATGGGAATGTGGATTTCAGAACACAAACAGATCAGCTGATATCACATTAAACGGTGGAGCAGGCTCAAGGGGCCAAACAGTCTACTTCTGCTTCTATGTCATATGTAGGTAAGTACTATCATTCTAATAACAACAAAAATAGATTAAACAACATGCAGTACAGATGTGTTTGCCTGTTGTTTACCTGTGATGTAAATCTGAGTCTCACTGGATGAAGTCAAATATGCAATGCTGCATCCATCATGGAAGTTGTTCCTGACAACCCTCATTTGAGTGCAGACTAAGAAACTCACTAAAAGAATATTTACAAGTAGTAAACAATTGGTATAAACCTTAGATATAAGAAATAATAAATATTAAACACAAACATTCAAATCATTATCTATCAGGTTATTCTAATTTGAATGACATGTACTGTATGTAGTTTACTACAGACTGTTCTTAAACTTTACTTCATTCTCTTTTATAAATTGCTTTATGATGTGAAAAGTAACAGTATACGGAAGAGTTTACGGCCTTGAGTTTCCACTCAATTATGTTGCTTTATGGGAACAATGCCCCTACCATGAGTGATAAAGATCACAAGATCACGAATGTAAAACTCACATTGTATTTCTGGTTTCGACAATCCCTTGCACTTGTTTTAAAAATATCCCATCAGAAAAAGTCCCTACCCACAAAACTGGCCATGCTCTAAAGAAAGGGGCTTTTATAGCACCTTTCACACCACATAACATTCCAAAGTAATTTAAAAGCAAGTAAATAGTTTTAAATTGAAGTCACTTATCATGCATGAATTGGAGCAGGCATTTTACACACAGCAAGCTCTGAGAAACAGTGTACGATAATGACCATATAATATATTGTATGTCATATTAACTGGGGGTTAAATATTGGATACAGGATTAAATACAGGACATGAGGGATTACTCCTTTGTTTTTTTCTGAAATACTGCCAAGCTTTTCTTTATGTTCACCTGAGAAGGTGTAACACCCAATTGAAAGAAGGCACCTTAGAGAATCAAGAACTCTCTCAGCACGGTACTGAATTAATCAACATTGGACAGTTATATTTCTAATGGGTGAGAGCTCTACTTACCAAAAAGAAAACATCGTGACTGATTAAAGAGGTTAAGAACAACATAAAGTTAATAACAATTAAAATATGGTTGAGAACAACAAGTTATTTGAAAGACATTAGCACAAAACAGCTATTGAGACTCCAGATTTATGTCTAGCTGATTTCAATGTGATGGGACAAAAACTATCCACTGTAAACTAGGCAAATCTGCCAATAGTTAAAATGACAGAACATCAGTGGTAGGTGTTCAAAAAGTGTTTAGCATAACAGACAATCAATTTATATCCCATGAAGCAAGAGCTCCACTTGCCAAAAAGGACAGCCATAGGTGATGAAAAGAGGCAATATAAAACTAAAGAGAAAACATGGAAGTATGTAAAGAAAAATAGAGAACATAATATATTGAAAAAATGCAAAGGATATCAGAGCTACAAATTGGAGCATGGAAAGAAATTGTCAGGGAATCAAAAGGAACAAAAATTATTACAATTACGTTAGGAAAGAAGAGGTAGTCGGGGTAACATGAGCCCCAAGAAACTGACAAAAGTAATGTTGTCAATGAAAATAAGGAAATGGCATATTGAATAATGACTGTGTGTTAAGACTTACACTCAAGGAAGAATGTAGTACAAATAGAATAGAATTGAATCCCTACAGTGAGCAAACAGGCCATTCAGCCCATCAAGTCCACACCAACCCTCTGAAGAATGTCTAACCCAGACTCAACCCCCATCCTATCCTGTAACCCTGCATTTCCCACTAATCCACCTAATTTACACATCCCAGGCAACCTAGCATGGCCAATCCACCAAATCTGCACATCTTTGGACTGTGTGACCACCTGGAAAAAAATCCATGCACACACAAGAAGAATGTGCAAACTCCACAGACAGCCACCCAAGGGTGGAATTGAACCTTGGTCCCTGGCACTGTGACACAGCAGTGCTGACCACTGAGCCACCGTGCTGTCTCCAAAGTATGCCAGAATTCCAAAGAAACTAGTGTTGAATCAGGAACAAAAACGTGCCAAAATTAATACAAGCAAAACAACAGTAATAACGCAAGTAATGACACTAAAAAAATTGGCAAAACTCTGGCATCAGATGGTTTCCAAATTATTGTTTTAAAGGAAGTGACAGCACTGCAATGTCCTCACTGTAATCTTCTGAAATTATCTCAATTCAGAAAACATTCCTTTAGATTGGAAAATTGTCATTATTACTTAAAACATAAGAAGGGGATGGAGGAAAACCAGGGAACTGTTGGCTAAATAGTCAAACATCTGTGTTAGGTAATTACGAGATGTATAATTGAGGATAGGCTAACTAAACACATTAGCTTTCTGATTAGCTGAAAGTTGGCAATGTGGATTAGCAGAAAATTGCCTATACCTGACAATTATGATTAAATTATTTCAAGAGACAACACAAGGACTAGATATGGCACTATCTATGGTGTAATTCATATGGATTTCTTGAATGCATTTGATAAAATCCCTGAAAAGAGATAGCTAACTAAACCTGAAGCATGGAATATTGACTTAGTTAGGAAATTGACAGAGTAGCAAGAGACAAAGGGTAAGAATAACGGGCCATTACTTTACTTGGCAGGATGTAATTAGTGGTGTCCCACAATGATTTATGCTAAGTTCTCAACTATTCATCACATCTATCAAAAACTAAAATGATAGGGTGGAAAACCACACAAAACTTTGCTGATATCACAAACATCAGCAGCATTGCAAGTGTGTAGATCATATAATCTCTACAGTGTGGAAGCAGGCCATTCGACCCATCGGGTCAACATTGATCCTCTGAAGAGCATCCCACTCAGATCCATTCCCCCTACCCTATCCCTGTAACCCTGCATTTCCCATGGCTAATCCACCTACACCTATACATTCCTGGACACTATGGGCAATTTAGCATGACCAATCCACCTAACCTGCACATCTTTGGCCTGTGGAAGAAATCTGGAGCACCCAGCGGAAACTCACGCAGACAAAGGGAAAATGTATAAACTCCATGCAAACAGTCACCGGGTCTCTGATGTTATGAGGCAGCACTGCTAACTGAACCATCATCCCACCTGGATGGAAGCAGAGAAATCCCAGGAGAAAGTAATAGATTAAGAGAATGGGCAAAACTGTGACAAATGGAAGATATTTGATTTGGACATAAAAATAGTAGAGGACCTTCTAAAAGATGAAAAACTGGAAAGTGAATGTCCAACAAGACTTGGAAATGACATTATCAGGTGTGTCATGTTGAAGGATCATAACTCCAGATCACCAATGACCATGTCGAACATGTTAATTACAACATTTGCTTTTCAAGAAGAGGAAATATATCTAAAGAAATGACTGATTGCAAGTTGTGAGTAACTGTCTCAAAGACCTGTATGAATTATCTTCAACCTTGATGGAGACCTTGGAATATCATAACTGACAGTGTCAAGGAAGATTCAATGAGAATGACCTCAATAGAGGGAAATGCACAGCAAACTGAACTATAATCTTCTGCATGTTATCTCAGAGTGTAAACATGACGGGAGAAAGAAAGAGCAGTCTGTTCTTTCCCCTTTCAAGAATACATTAGAACAGGGAGTAAAAACTAGTTCCACGTCTGGTGTGTGCTTGCTTGTTGGCAACAATGTGTGCTGTGAAAGTCATAGCTGAGAAAATTTTCAGTCATCCCTGTGCTACAGAAAAAATGTTTCTCTCTCACTCAGGTGAGAATCAGAAGGCAAGTGAAACCTGCAATCAAAAGGAAACAGCATGTCGGCCTTTCAGCTGTCCTGTAAAACCAAACAAAATGAACAGCTCACCTATCTACATCAGTGCTAATGGCTGCAACATCCCATTGTCTACTCTTCATACAACACTTAGATTGACCCAGTTGTTTTAAAAAATTTTATCTTTTTTGGTCTTGACTCTCATTTTTAATTTATGTTTGCACGTTACATTATTATCTTTTCTTGTGTTTTGCTGGCCTGCAAATAGGCTAAAAGGGAAAGGGTACAGGGTTGGGAATGTAGTATAAAAGTCAGATTTATGCAAAAAGATACCAAAATGTGCCTCCACACAACCAGATTAAAATTTAGCCAAAATGTTCAGGCTAAGTTGGGATGTATAGAATGGAAACCGAAAGAATTGTGGATGCAGTTCAGGAACAAAAACAAAGTTGCTGGAAAAGCTCAGCAGGTCTGGCAGCATCTGTGATGGAAAAAACAGAGTTAACGTTTCAGGTCCGGTGACCCTTCCTCAGAATTTCTAAGTTCTGAGGAAGGGTCACCAGACCCGAAACGTTAACTCTGTTTTTTCCTTCACAGATGCTGCCAGACCATGTATAGAATGGAGACGGTTTGGCAGTGTTATTAATGAACGTATCATAGGCTGTGCAAAAAGTAGGTCAACGAATGCAATTATCTTGTTTGAACTAAGAAATAACAGAGGTATCATCATACTATCAGTTGCATTCTATAGGCTACAAGTACTGGGAACAATCTAGAGGAACAAACTTGCAAGGCAATTACAGAGAGATAAAAACCATAATGATCATAATGGGAGACTTTCATTACTCTATTATAGTTTGGACAGAAATAGTGTAAAGGGCAGAATCAGAAAGAGTTTCTAGTGTTTTCAGGAGAATTCGAGATGAGTATTTATCTGGCCAAACAAGAAAGGGAGCAGGTTGACTCTTAACTGCCCTCTGGGCGATTAGGGATGGGCAATAAATACTGCCTCGCCAGCAACACCCTCATCCCGTGAATGAATAGAGAAATATAAAAGAAAAATACGAGGGATGCTGGAAATCTGAAACAAAAATAGAAAATTCTGAAGAAACTCAGTAGGGCTGGCAGCATCTGTGGAGAGGGAGAAACAGAGTTAACATTTTGAATTCAATATGACTGTTTTTCAGAATACAAAGAAGGCAGCATCGCTGGATATGATTCAAGAGAATGAGATGAGTCAAGTGAATGAATGTCAGTGAGGAAACATTTACATGACAGTGATCATAGCATCATAAAGTTTAGGTTAGGCACGGAAAACGACAAGCAGCAATCTAGAGCAAAAGTACTTCGTTGAAGGAGGGGGTGAGGAGAGATTTGTCAAGGGTAAACTGGAATCAAAGATTTGCAAGGTAAAAATGTTAGGGACAGCAGGCTGCCTTTAAAGAAGAGATTGATCGATATAGCTCAGAAACATTTCCACAAGGGGGAAATCAAGTCGAGCTAAGTCACCATAGTCTTACCATACGATAGGGCTGCTCTCTCATTAGAGATAGACAACTGGTGGTAATTTAACCTGAGGGCCACCATCCTTAGGCAAGGGGAGAGGTTGCTGGAATTCAGAAACAAAACCAGAAATTGCAGGGAAAAACTCAACATGTCTGTCAGTATCTGTGCAGTGAAATCAGAGTTAACATTTTGGGTTCAGTGACCCCAGTTCTGAGGAAGGCTCACTGGACCTGAAACACTAACTCTGATTTCTCTCTACAGATGGTACCAGACCTGCTGAGTTTTTCCAGCAATTTGTGATTTTGGCCCTTCATGGTAACTTCAGCTGGGGATGGGAACTGAAGCCATGGTGTTCGCATCACACTGCTTCGCAAACCAACCATCCAGCCAACTTAATAAACTGAAATTCAGGACATCAAGCCCAGAGCTCCGTGGATAATGAAAGAGGTAGAGAGCAAGATGAAGCAGCAAAGTAGGATGTTGTACATTGTCACATTGGAATGATGAGATGACATGGCAGCTAACATGAAAGGGAATTTACGTCTTCTGTAGGTGTATAAATAGTACAAGGTGGTAAAAGCAAGCAGGAACGGGAATAATTAGCGATCAATAAAAGAATTAATGATTGGAGGCAGTAGTCTTGGCTGAGGTATTAAATAAGCACTTAGTATCTTTGTCTACCAAGAAAGATGTTGTCAAACTCAGTGAAAAATGAGGTCATTGGCATAATGGATGACTTCAAAAGTCTGTGTCATTCATCTCTGAAATGCACTGCTTGAGTGAGCGATAGAGGCATACTTAATTACGGTTTTCAAAAAATAATTGGATGGGAATAACCTGAATGGAAATAATTTGAAGGGGTACTGGGAAAAGGTAGGGAGAATTACCTGAGCTCCTCTTGCAGAGAACTAGCACAAATACAAAAGAGCCAAATGGGCTTCTAGTGCACTGTAAATATTTTATTGAGTACTTTAAATACGGTAAAGAATATCGAAGGTGTTTCACAGAGGTGGTGTAAGCTGGTTTTAAAGGTGGTTGGAGTCATACCTGATACATAGGAGGATAGCTGCGGTTATTGAAGGTCAGTTACCTCAGTTCTCAGACATCTCTGCAGGAGTTGCACTGGATAGTGTCCTAGGCCCAACCACCTTCAGCTGCTTCATCAATGACCTTCTCTCCATCATAAAGTCAGATGCAAGTAGGCAACTTTATGATGCAGTAAAGTGATGGAATGGGTCATCGAACACTGCTTTCAAGCAGGACATGCTCAGCAACAACCTGCTCACTGATGCCCAATTTGGATTGTGCCACAGCCATTGACCTCATTACAGCCTTGGTTCCAACATGGACAAAAGAGCTGGATTCTAGAGGTGAGGTGAGAGTGACAGCCCTTGACATCAAGGCTGCATTCAACCGAGTGTGGCATCAAGGAACCCTAGCAGAATTGGAATCAATGCATATCAGGGGCAAACTCTCCCATGGTCGGAGTCATACCTGGCATATAGGAAGATAGTTGTGGTTGTTGGAGGTCAGTCATCTCAGCTTTAGGACATCTCTGCAGGAATTACTCAGGGTAGTGTCCTAGGCCCAACTATCTTCAGGTGCTTTATCAATAATTTTCCCTACATCATAAGGTCAGAAGTGGGGATGTTCACTGTTAAATACACAATTTTTAGCTCCTTTTGTGACTCCTCAGATACTGAAGCAGTCCATGTTCAAATGTAACAAGATGTGGACATTATCCAGGCTTGGGCTGACAAGTGGCGAGTACACAGCACACAAATGCTAGGAAATGACAATCTTCAATAAGAGATAATCTAACGACCATCCCTTGACATTCAATGGTGTTACCATCATTGAATGCCCCACTATCAATATCCTGGGGTGTTACCATTGACTAAAAACCCAACTGACGAGTCCAGTAAACACTAACAGCATTGCAGATCAACCTACAGCATGTCGACTGCAGCAGTTCACGAAGGCCACTCACTATCACTTTCTCAAGGGCAGCTACGGATCAGCAGTGAATGCTGTCCAACCATTGATGCCCACATTCCACAAGTGAATAAAAAATTGTCAGTTTGCAAGCACATGGGACAGAGGGTTGCAAACAGTGTGAAAAAATTAAAACTGAGGATGATAACAATAATTTGCATGATTTCATCATATTTAAGGATCGTGGATGAAATAACAGTTTGATCATTGGAAGAGTGGAAGATGATTTTCCAACACAGGAGTATGCTGAACATGGGGAAGCAGTGTGAACACCCATTGGAACATATTAAAAGTTTAGCAAAAACAATGACGTGGCTTTTCTAAAAAAAAAAGAACTTTTATGTCAGTTTGTTTTCAGTGGAAGAAAAGAACAGTAAGTTCTGATATTAGTGGAAGAAAATAAATTAAGTAGGGTCGCATATATGAAATCAATGCATCTTGGAAATATCACATGGCCATTTATCAAAACTGCATTCGACCTGGTAATTTATCATGTATGGTTGCAATACAACTAAGAAATATTAAATTGTGACAAGCCCTTCCAAGTTTGTACCTGGATGTAGTTGATTGTAGATGTCTGGTTGGGAAGTGCAATAAAGTTCCAGAATAAATGGTTTTGTACTTGTTTGATCTATCATCTCAACAAACCGTCGAACCCAAAAAGCATTATCATCATCTATGTATGAAACAAAATAAATGATTACCAACTTCACAAATGTCATTACTTCCAGAAGAATTTACTACATTGTAGGATTTTCTTCATTCTTCAAATGATATCCATCTTTGATATACCAAGTATAAACAAAAATACATGGAATATTATAATATTACAGATGGACAATGCTGACCTTATGCCAAGTTCCAGGACCCATTATATTATGCCAACGTATTTTGACTTAAAGCTAAACTAAAACTAAGTTAAAGGTAGGCAAACACTCATCCCCTAGAGGAAGCTATACCTCTGCAAGGACAGATGGAAAAGTATTCTAGTGTATATAAAATGCACACTATTCAAAGAATGCAGAATATTTTACAGCAATTATTCTTCTTCATGTTGAACCACCGTAGGAAGATACTAAGCAGAAAATAGCACTTATTTTGGAGGGTGAATGTCTCACACACTGGGAGCATAGCACTGTTTAGCCAAAGGTGCCTCATATGTGGGAATCAAATGTAGACAGTAACATTCAATCTGTCAAGATTAATTAAAATGCAATACTTGTATTTTTAATCAACTGGCATCTAACTTAGTGATGCTGGAGGAGTAACCCTCACCAACAACCTCCCTGCAACATGGCTTTGGTGCAGAATTAAATCATGTACAACACCCAATTAGCTATCGTTGTCTATCACTGGAGTCACCTAGCTTATGCACCATTGAAAATGTATGACTAATTGTGCTTTGTACTATATAATAATTTAGACTTCTGAATATTTACACAGTAGAAGCTAAATCCCAGTTATGAATTACCTGACAGAAAGGACAATAATTACGCAATGCAAATAAAGAAAATTCAAGCATATACTCTGCAAATCCCATGGCTGGCAAGTTAGAATGGGAAGTCAAATAGAAGTTATAATAAATAGGGTTTTTGTGCATACATTTTGGATGCCAAAATTAATGCAGTTTTTCATTCATTTGCTTGAAGAATCTTGTAAGTTATTTTGTATGCTTTTACCTTACAACCCATATGCAAATCCATGAATGAACCAGTTGCACCTGAACTGGAACAGGAGCTAAATTAGGCAGTCCCTTAAAACAGATGGAGGAGTGATAATGCATGATTAGCATTTATCTGTTTGTTCAATAAAGTCACAGGTAAAAGTATACGCACTATAGAAAGGGTCAAGCTCAGTGATTTTCAATTCCACTGGTATCAAATTTAAAAGTGTATTCATGAAAAGGTTTATCCTAGTGAAAACAAAATTCCTTACAGCGATTCCAAACCACCCTCTTTTATTCCTATCACTAATCTTGTTTGGGCTGAGCTGAGTTTGGGCTTGAAAACAGGGAAACTAAGCTGAGAGCTGGCATGCTCATAGCACGGCTTTTGCTTGTTTCCCTTAACCAAGTGAGCCAGATTTCTTCTTCTTCCAGACCACAGATGCATCATCAGCAACTCCAGGCTTTTGGATTCAAGGAATTTTGTACCAAACAGACGGCTCCACCACCCCACCCCAAGTTCCCGAGCAACTTGGTGCCTGGTTTAGATCCCGCATCTTTTCTTCAGGTCTCCACACAGATCTCAACTCTAATCTCTCTGTTCCTGAAAACCCACCCAACCTCCAGCCCATCACTCATGGCTCCTTGGTCTTTCTCTAAGTCTCCTTCATCCTTCACTTTCATTCAACTTGCTGCACCCGTGGCCCTTTAGCTGTTTCTTGTCGCTTTCAGAGCCTCCATTGACCAGCCTATGTTTCAGCTCCTGTGTGTAGCCTCCTCCTTCAGCCCTGCAAGCCTGTCAAAGAGAGCTCACAGGGCTGAACAATTCCCCTATCTGACTCTCCTACCAGAGCCAACCAACTACAGCAGACGGAGACAGTGATAAAGTTAATGAGGTAGTACACTCTCCCCATTACATAGCAATGCATCTTTTTTTTTCCTGTATCTGTTTCATGATTTTTGCATACAACCAGCATTAAAGTTGAAAACAAAAAATGCTGGATTCCAGCATCTACAGTAATTTGCTCCTACAGCATTAAAGTTGCCATAGCCCTACAGAACTACAGGGCTACTCTCTCAATAGTGAGATGACTGGTGGTTGAGTTTAACCTGAGGGTCACCATGCCTCAGGCAAAGGGCAAGGTTGAGAAGGTGGTACATTCAACTTCCCCCCTTGAATGCATCAGCCGGAGGCCCAGAATCAATACTCGCTATGTCTATTTAAAGCTATTGTCCACATCTCTCGGTGTACACACTGACATTTATTCAATCATCACAGCCATATCAGCAACATATTTGCTGACACAGTTCCTTCCTTTTTAGCAGAAGGTGGCACAAAACTGAAGATGGCAAGAATTAAACAGAGAAAAATAAAATCACACCTGCATGCCATAAAACTCATTGAGGAGACTCTGCAGGCAATTATTAAAAAGGCTATGGCAAGCAGCAAAGCTGAAACCATTGAAGATTAATGTGTTCTCAGTCCCAATCCTCTTTTTATATTCCCCATTAGCCCTCATACCAAAATTTATTTGATTTACATGCCACAGATGGTGCAAATGTGCAGCTCTAAATTTCTCTCCTGCCAGGCCAGTCAGTGGAAATAGTCAAACAAAAATGGTGCTGAAAGTATACCATAACTTGAGGGTGGCACAGTGGTTTGGGGGTTAGCACAGGTGCCTCACAGCACCAGGGACCTGGGTTCAATTCCACCCTTGGGTGACAGTTTGTGTGCAGTTTGCATGTTCTCCCTGTGTCTGTGTGAGTTTCCTCCAGGTATTCCAGTTTCCTCCCACAGTCCAAAGATGTGCAGGTTAGGTGGATTGGCTATGCTGAATGGTCTGTGGTATCTTGGGTGTGCAGGTTAGGTGATTAGCCATGGTATATGTAGGGTTACAGGGATGGGGTGTGTCTGGGTGGGATGATCTTAAGAGGGTTGGCGTGGACTCAATGGGCCGAATGGCCTGCTTCAACATTGCAGGGATTCTATCAGACCTATGACATGGGTATCATATATGTAGCCACTAGGTCAGATACTGACTCTGGGATCTTGTTGCACAGTGGTAATGTCCCTCCCTATGGATCAGGAGGACTGGGTTCACATCCCAACACTCCAAAGGTGTGCAATAACGTTTCTGAACAGTTTGATTAGAAAATGTGCAGATAGTGAGTCTGCACTATCATGTACAATTTCTGCTGCAGTGGACTCAAAATAGCATTCTGATGGCCCAGGCTATAGGATATTGCTGATTGGTTTGAACAGTACAATGCTTTAGGAAGCCTGTTAGAAAGTACGTGTTCACTGTCAAGGAATATGGAGGGTCCAAGCTCAATTCGACTCTGGGCTTTGCACATAGCTTGGAATTCTTCCTAGTGGTTAATTCTATTGTAGTCAATTTGTTTACTTCCCTTGTTGCACAAACAGCTTCCACCAAAAGAATGAGTGTTGCAGGGGAGTTTAAGTTAAAGTCTTACAAGTTTAGCTTTCTGCAATCACGACGGTAGGTAATAATATTGAAAGGGTCTTAAACAATGTCACAGCAGTTGAACACAATCTGTCTTTCAGCAGATTACTAGGATTGCTGATGGGCCACTCCAAGAGAGTAGCAGTGATTCCATAGCCTGCCTCCCACCTGCCGTTCTGTTAGTGCTTTTCGTGTGTTAGCCAGAGGCTGCAGAGAGATAGAGAGAGAGACAAAGGTACAAGCTGCTGACATCGGTGCCTGGGGGACATTAGCCAGAGCCTGCAGAAAGTTAAAGAGAGAGAAAGGGATATCAGCCAATGACATCACTAAAAGGAAGTACCCAATGCAAAGGTGCTGCCACGAAGAAAGAAGCAGCTTGTGAACTAAAAATGACCTGCACTCAGGTGCTAGTTTCAGCCGATTTAAACCAGTTTGAATTAACTAAGCTCTGCCAAAAGTAAGAAAGATGAGATAAGGGAAGTCTTATTTGGACAAGAAATAATGAGGTAATGCTACCCAAGTCTCTGGGCCAGGGCCAATGAGGTAAAGGCATGTGATAAGTGAATTAACCTGAGCCAGAGAGAAAGGTGCAGTCAGCAAAAATTCCGGACAGCAACCATCGCAGAAGCAAATCCTATGTCAGGGACGTGGTGACGACATTGAGTGCATCACCCGGCCAGCGTCAGCTCTCGTCAGCAGCAGTAGCTATTCTGATCGGGTATTAGCTTTATATATTCGGTGACTACTTCGGGAGTGTCAGAGGACTCTAGTGGGTGTCTGAGTAGGTCCTAGTTCAGTTTGTGAGAAAACATATAAAGTCTAGTTTTGTGATAAAAACGTTTAAGCAACAAGTGTCTTGTTTAATACACTAACAAAATAATTTAAGAGGTTACGAAAATTGACTCTTCTGTTCTCTGTACAAGCCAATAACCAGAGCTGATGTTCTCCAGGCTCCCAACAACAGGTGTTATCTGCCAACCCTGGTTACTGTAAATTGAAGTTAAGCCATTCTCCAAGGCCATATGCAATGCCGTCCAGTGAAAGTCAGCAGCTTTCCTCTAACCATGTTGTAGCTATCTGGGTAGCACTACAAAAGAGGTCTCGTAACAGGCAAAGACACAAGACATATAATAAGGCAATGCTCAAGGGTATTTAGATTACTTTTGCATGCACCGTGTCACAACTTAATTTATAAATTTGGTTTGGAATACTTATTTTGCGGTGGTTTTTATTTTGTGTTTCAGACAGGAAGAAAATGAGAAGGCCAGTGAAAGTGAGCAGAATGAAACTTCTGGTGAACGCAAAAATTCGGATTTGCGCCATACTCAAATTAGTTCTTCTGCCTGGGCCTAAAGGGGTTATCTAAGCTGCCACTCATTTCCTCCTCAACTCCATTTCCTTGTGCTGTTCTTCCTCAATTTCCTGTTGGATAGTTTATAACATGTGCAGTCCTATCAATGTGGCAAATTTGTGAAATATGGAATGTAAACGAGACCTCTTGAGACCCACTCAGCTGAATACTGTGAGACCCCTCCAGAGAATTCTAAATCATTGAAATCATTGTTTTAATGCACCAATAGCCAGCTCTCTCAAATGCTGTGGGAGCACATCTGACTCGGGGCAGCACAGTGGCGCAGCGGTTAGCACTGCTGCCTCACAGCGCCAAGGACCTGGGTTCAATTTCACCTTTGGGCGACTGTCTGTGTGGAGTTTGCACATTCTCCCCGTGTCTGCGTGGATTTCCTCCGGGTGCTCCAGTTTCCTCCCACAGTCCAAAGATGTGCACGCTAGGTGGATTGGCTATGCTAAATTGCCTGTCGTGTTCAGAGATGTGGAGATTAGGCGGTTATTGGGGGACGGGTCTGGATGGAATGCTCTGAGGGTTGGTGTGGACTTGTTGGGCTGAAGGCCCTGTTTCCACACTGTAGGGATTCTATGGATGGATTGTTTGCATACTTTGTACATGTGCAAGGGCTGTAAACCAGAATCATGTGCCATGTACTCAGCAAATATCACTTGTCACCCAGAAGGCATCCTTTCGTTTGTAGAAATGGCTGAAATACTGCTGACATAGTAGATGGTTTACCCTAGACTGAGGCATCATGTCCCTTGCCAGGATGCAATATAGGGAGCTGCATAATGTGTTGCTATTGTTGCACACTAACTGGGCTTTCACGAAGTAACATTTCTTTTATTTTTGATTATGTAGCAAAGTTATATGAAGAGAGATTGGACAGACTAGTTGTTTTCCTTGAAGCAGGGGAGACTGAGGAGGGATGTGATTGAGTTATAAGAGGCAATTATAAGAGGCATAGACAGTGTAGACAAGAAGAAACATTTCCCCTTGGTGGAGGGATCAATGACCAAGGGTCATAGATTTAAGATAACGAGTAGGAGATTTATACAGGATTCTGAGGAAACCTTTTTCACCAACAGGATGCTAGGAATTTGGAACTAATTGTGTGTTAGAGACAGAAACTCTCATAATTTAATATTTAGTGTACATTTGTGATGCAAAGGCATACATGGCTATAGGCCAAGTGCTGAAAAATGGGATTAGAATAGTTAGGTGGCTGTTTTTGACAGACTCCATCGGCCAAAGGGCCTTTTTATGCTATAGACCTCTATGACTCTCTAAGATTCAAAGAATCTCAAAAAAAAGCTTTGAAGAGATCTGACCACTCAATGCCAACCATTGAAGAAATGTTTCCACAACTTGCTCCGGCAAAAGGTCCTTACTAACCCCAATGCAAAGGACGCAAAGAGAATGAAGCTGAATAAAAGTAGCAGATTTTTAACTTCATTATGGATACCATTTGAAAGATACAAATTGGTTGTGCATGAAGTACGGCATTTCTGCTGCTCCTGAAGAGTACCAATGTAGACAATATGAGATAGTGAATGGTCTTATAAGGACTTGGGGTAAACTATTTAGGACTGAGATGAGGATAAATGTCTTCACACAATGAGTGTGAGCCTATGGAATTTGCTACCACAGAAAGCAGTCAAGGGCAAAACATTGTATGATTTCAAGGAGGAGTTGAATACAACACTTGGGACTCAAGGGATCAAAACATATGGGGGAAAATAGGACTGATCATTCAAGTAGTCATGATCATAATGAATGGGGAAGCAGGTTTAAACGGGCCAAATGGCCCACTCCCTTTCCTATTTTCTGTTACCTCCTGGAGTGGAAGCTATTGTAGATGAGGTACTACAATGTGGGTAAACAATGGAAGAAGCCACTGCAGATTGTGATCAAAATCTGATGAGACTGTTAGAGAGAGTTCATCAAATGAAAGGATGTGATTGAAGACGGATGAAATCAAGTACATACGTGATGTACTAACAGCTTAAAGACTTCACCTGGATCTGAAAAGAGACAGCAATAGCAGAAATACAGTGAACAACAGATGTGAAAGTAGTGCAATAATTTATTATATTTGTGAATTGTTTAGTAAAGGTTTTGCCTAATTTGTCAGCAGAATATGAACTTTTGTGCAAGCTCGCCATTGAGGATGTAGTGTTGTGCTAGAGCACTGAACAAGAAACAGCTTTCACTAGAATCAAACTACTGCTGATGACAACACCTGTCTGAGGTACAGCGATGTCAATGATTAAATTTCCATATGATGTTAGTGAGAAAAGACTTGTAGCAACCCTTCTGCCACATGTACAACCAGTTGAAACAAACAAAAATAGGAGTTGCTTGAGAAACTCAGCAGGTCTGGCAGCATCTGTGGAGAGAAAACACAGTTAACGTTTCAAGTCCAGTGATGCTTCATTAGAACTGAAAGCAGCTGGGAAAAGGTGATACTTATTCTGATGAACAGGGTAGGGGGATACGAAAGGAGTGATTGGTTGTATTATTGACATTTCTATTTGCACTCGTTTGCATCTACTTGCACTATTATTTGCAGTTAAGTTTTTTTTAATGAAAAAGGGTACATTTGGAAAAATGCAACTGTACTTAGTTAACTGGTGGGCTTGCCATAGCCTTGTAACCTTTTTCTTACAGCAAGTACTTTTGTCGACAGATTGTGGAAACCTTTAAACACACAACTCTTTCTATATGATCAGAGATGATTAACCAGCATACCTGAATTTCTAGGCTTACATTGCTTGTCTGTCTTGTTTCAGGCAGAATGCAGCTAATTACTATTGTGAACTCGTCAAAATTCACATGTTACAGTTTCAATTTAAACGAGAAACAATACACAGTGAAAATTTTTGAATTAATTGTTCCATCCTACATACACTGAAACTTCTAGGCAGCTGTTGATAATCTTCATTTCAGCAAAAAAGCACAGTCTAGTATTAAAACAACAATTTGAATCCTATGAAGTAGGAGTACGACAGCATGAACATTGCCAGCATTACATAACAATATTTTATGCAAGTCTTTATACAGTTTCAATAGATCTTATCAGGCTACTATGTAAGATGTACTTTCAAATGTGTTGAGGATGCAAATAAACAATGGATCTTTTCAAATAGGCAATGTAAACATATTACCCTTCTTTCTGATTCTTTCACATCTGCCAACAAAAGTGACAAGGCCAATGACATCACAAACATAGGTGTCTGGGAGAGTGTCCAATAGATCCCTGAAAATAAATTATGCTGTTTTATATTTAACAATAATTATTCTTAAATAGATGACACATTTTGTATTTCATCATTTAAATATCTTAGAGAATGTTAGCCAAATATCCAAACCTATATCAATTTCAATGGTCCAAAGTTTTCCATTACTTCAGTTCCTGACAAAATTTATGGTCATGAATATATCAAAACATTAATTATGGAGAAATTTAAGAAATTCTTAGTATTTAAAATAAGTTATAAGACTCCAAATACATGCTAAGAAAATTCTGAAAATACTTCATTAAAGTTTTTTGTGGCCTACAGGTGACTTTTGCAACCTATAACAATAATTAAATTGGCCTTGTTGAGAAACAATTTTGTTGACTAAATACTTAAATCTAAATAATTTTCAACTATATGTCATATTTAGAAGCTGTAAGTGCTTTTCATCCTTTTTGCTGTCCTTTTCAGGTACCTCTTGAATTTTTAAAAATAATTTCAAGTTCAGGAGCACCAATTATTCCTGAGTGAACCTTGAGTCCCATGCTAATTGTGCCATTCGTGCCTAATATGTCATTAAATTACAGCATTAGCCAGAGTTGCAGAAGTAGGATTTCTTGACTTAAGTGACAAGTACTCTGCTAATATATCTACAATCACATACAGTATACTTCTCCGTTTGTCTTCTTACCTCTCTGCTCAACTGAACTGTTGGTTGGGAAGAAAGAGGACTGAGTATGCAACTCAGATAGCAAATCAAAGCACTCAAGGACTACTGAACAACATGGTAATGACTGCAAATTAAACAACGGGCAAGAAAAAAAGGGTACAAACATATCACTTCAGGGTGGAAAAGAGTGGCTGAGGCTTTTATAACAGCTAGGAAAGAGAAGACATCTGGTCAAGGCCACTACTACATCACTTGTAACATGTGTGACTGTCACACTGTCATTGGGAAACTAATTCTTGACAAAGTTCGCAAGATTTAAAATTACACAGGAACATAAAAAGAATCACTGGACATGCATAGCTATGCTGTGTTGATGGGTTCACTCTTTGTCATAATGACATAAATAGTCTTGTCTTCAATACTGGAACCATGCAAATTGACTTATTTTTTAAGAAAAATAAGACCACAAATTTTGAATGTGAACTGGCAAATTCACGAATAAAACAATTGTTTTTTAAATGATGAATCTACCTTATGACCAAAATTTTGCTCAAATTGTGCCAAAAGTGCAAAGTACCTCAAGGAGCCGCAAGTTGGAACCTTTTTTTAAAATAATGTAAAATCACTTTTTCAGTTTTATAGAAGCACCTTCCCTGAAAGAGCCACTGATTACAAATAATGTTACTTTCGATAAATGTATATATATATATATCTTATCTTCCCAGAATTTCATATTAATGCCGAGTGCAACTTGAAACCTAGCTGTATTAATCAGGAAGAAACAGTTATGAGTGAAAGTTGTTAACATCATGTATATTAAACTGGTAAGTAGAAATTAGAAAGTGTAATCAACATTCTCTATTGAAGTTCAATGTTTTGGACCTAAATGCCTAATTAATTTTCATTAAAAATGCACTCTCTTATTCCTTAGTGAATATTTACAGCATGACGTCTGTCTAGAATGCTTGAATTATCTTAATTAGGATTTTCAAGAAAATTAAAATTTCCATACATATTAAAGATACACAGCTCAAGCTGAAAGAATATCAATTAAAAAGGTAAACTTATACATATAAAGTAAGGCATGTCATAAAGACTTTTCCTCAGAGGAATGTTGGTGGGTGGACACCTGCACAACATTGTTGCAAGCAGCAAGCTTGAGGACACAAATAACTTTATTGTGCAAATTATCCTTTGATAATCTAGGACCCTGATTTCATTTATATAATCTTCCAACATCATGTTTTCTTGTTATCATAAGTAAAATCACAATAATTTATGAACTTAAGAAACTTTTCACTAAGTTATTATTGCTGGGGAAAGCAGGAACACAACAAATCATTTCACATTACACTGACCAGAAAAAATGAGCAGTACACAAGAGATAAAATTTGCTTGAAATAGTTGAGATTTCATTTCACAGGCATGATATTAGGCTTCACCAAGATTGCAACACCCAGGTGTAAAGTTTGCAGGCCATTAGGTCTTGAACAGGCTTGGGGTAGACTCCTGCCCCATTTAAGGAAGAAGTACTGCCTCAGAGAATTGTCAGCTACACAGTAGTCCCAGCAGTCCCCACTGAGCATCTGGCCATTGCTGGGATTCCATTTGGTCTTCAATGGGATCTTTGCTGGAGATGGATGGGGAGGGTTGAGAGGGTTTTCAGCAGGACTAGACTAGCATATGCCAGCAAGAGGTGGAGGGGAATGAGGGGTAAAGGGGAGAGTTTGAAGTGCATGGACTGGAGGGGGTGAGGAGAGTACAATCTGGGAAGGGTATAAATATTGAGGAGAGCCTGGAAAAAAGAAACACCACCCTCAACCTAACTTCCCTCCAGTAAACCAAGACCTGGGAACTAACAGGCTTCAAGCCTGGCTCTGGTCTCCACCTGCAACAGGAAGATTTGCAGAGGGATGTGAAAAGGCTTGGCTCAAAGATTGATAATCCACCCAACAACTCCTGTTACAAGTAAAATTGTAGCGGAGTCAGGAACAGGTAGGCAGGCACTGGGAAATATAGAAGACAATGTTGAGGGGATTATGCTAAGTTTGTGGATGACACAAAGATTGACCAGGTGGTTGTCAGTGAGAAAGACGATCTAGGTTACAGGAAGATAAAGACGATTGGTCCGATGGGCAGATCAATGTCAGATGTAATTTAACATTGATGAGTGTGAGGTGATGCACTTTGCATGAAGCAACAAACCTAGGGAGTACTCAACGAAGATAGAATGCTAAGAAACTCAGAGAAACAGAGGGATTTTAAGGTGCTTGTTCACAGATCCAGGAAGGCAGCAAGAAGGCAGTGTAGTTATGAAGGTATATGAGACACTTTATCAGTCATAGCATAGACTACAAGAGCACGGAGATTATGCTGGAGCTGTACAGAACTTTGGTTAGGCTACAGCTGGAGTATGCTGGTCACCACACCATAGGAAGGATGTGATTGCACTTGAGGGATACAAAGGAGATTCACCAGGATGTTGCCCGAGTTGGAGCAGTTTAGCTTTAAAGAGATGCTGGATAAGTTCATGAGAGCAGAACAGGCTGAGAAGGGACTTGATTGAGGTGCATAAGATTATAAGGGATATGGACAGGGTGGATAAGAAGCAATTGTTCTCCTCAATTGAAGGTTCAGTAACAAGGGGTAGGATATATATTTTTTAAGGTGAAAAGCAGGAGGTTTAGAGAGGATTTCAGGGCAAGAATTTTCAACCAGAGTAGTGGGAATCTGGAACACACTGCCTAGGAGGGTGACTGAGGCAGGAAACCTCCAGGCCCTTTTTTTAAAAAAAAGTACTTGAATGAACACGAAATGCTTTGCTATAGTTCAGGTACTACAAAATGAAACTACTGCAGATTTAGTTTTTTGTCAGTGCAGACTCAATGGGCCGTATTATACACACCACAACTTGCCAATCTGCCCCAGATAGCATAAAATTCTGTCCCACATTTTAGTTTAATCAAAATGACTTATCTTACAAATTAATTTGTGTGTACACATATAGAGAAGCATTGTACTGGTAGATTACCTGGTAATAAAACGATACTTAATACTAGGAAGCCTCCACTCAGGTTTGACTTGTTTTGGTGGAATAATCTTAATATCAGCAGCAGGTTTCTGAGGGTTCAAGGAAATATCTGAAATGCAAACAAAATAGCTATAACTAGAATACACACAGTAGACATCTACGTGGTGTCAAAACACAACTACAATATTGCTCACAAATTAAAATAAACTGAAAAATACACTCCTTCCTCATTTATTGGGGATGGATAAAATTTAAAAATGCTCTTTTCATTCATTAAAGGGATGTGGACTTCGTTGGCTTGGCTAACATTTAATGCTCATTCCCAACTGTCCTTGAGAAGGGGTGATGAGCTGCCTTCTTGAACTGCTGCCGTGCATTTTGTGTAGATACACCCACAATACGATTAGGGGTAGACCTCCAGGTTTTTGGACCTAATAACAACAAGTCAGCATGGTGTGAGACTTGGTGAGGATCTTGCAGATGGTGGTGTTCCCATGTATCTGCTGCCCCTGTCCTTCTGGATAGTAGTGGTTGTGGTTTTGGTTTTGGAAGGCGCTGTCTAAGAAGCCTTGATGAATTTCTGCAGCACATCTTCTAGATGGCACACACAGCTGCTACTATGCATCAGTGGTCGATATAGCAAATCTGGTGCAATCAAATGGGATGCTTGGTCCTTGTTGATGTCAAGCTTCTACCGTGTGATTGGTGCTGCTGTTCTTTCAGGCATGTGGAAACATTCTATCAAACTCGTTACTTGTGTCTTATAGGTGGCGTACTGGTGTTGGGGAATATATTGCAGTATTAAGTAAGTGTGGCCCTCATATGAATTAGTCTGTGAAAACATTCAGGATGTACATTTTGGAGACGAAGACAGGAGAAATTATGGGAATGAATGAGGAAATGACAAAGACATTGAAAAAAATGTTTAGGTCTCGCTTTACAGTAGAAGATACAAAGTGAGGTGAACCAAGCAGGCAATAAAATTGAAATCAAGATAATTATTATCAGCAGAGAAAAAGTACTGAAGAATCCAAACAGACTAAAATCCGACAAATCCTTAGGATCTGATAGTACATCTTTTGAAACCCTAGATATAGGCTGTCAGAAATAGTGAATGCTCTGGTTATGATTTTGCAAGATTCTCTAGATTCTAATATAGTGTTTGCAGGTTAGGAAATTTAACATTGCAATTCAACAAAGGAGAGAAGAAACAGGGAACTACAGGCCAGTTAGCCTGACATTAGTCGTCAACAAAATGCTAAAATCTACTATTAAAGGGAAGCAGTACAGGAAATATACTTGATCTTCAGAAAGCTAGAGGATAAAGTGCACAGAAATGGTTAGCACACGTGATAAGGTTCACATAGTTGGGGATAATACATCAGCATGAATAAAGGATCAGCTAAGAGATGAAACAAACAGTAGGGATAAATGAGGTATTTTCTAAATCAGCAGGCTGTGACTAGTAGAGTGCCACAAGGAATAGTGGTGGAGCCGAAGTATTTGAAATCTATATTAATGTCTTAAAGAGACAGAGCAAAGTGTCAAAATTCGCTGACAGTACAAAGCTGGATGGGAGTACAAATTGTCAGGACACAATAAGAGAAACAGACAAGTTAGTTGAATGGGCAACAAGAAGTATAATGCGAGATCATACTCTTTAGTAGTAATAAAAAAGTAGATCTTTTTATAAAAGCACTATACATATAAATGTTGCTGTTCAGAGAAACTTGGGTGTACTTATACAAGGATCACAATTCACAAATAGGTACAGCAAACAATTAGGAAGGCTAATTGCATCTTGGCCTTTAATGCAAGAGTTTGGAGTGCAACAGCAAGTCTCATTACAGGACTTGGGTAAAATCAATGTCTGGAGCACTGTGTGAAGTTTTAGCGTCTATACTTGAGGAGTGACATGCTTGCATGAGGGTACAGCATAGGTTCACTACATTGGTTCCTGATTTAAGAGTATCATCTTCCGAAGAAAGGCTGATTAAATTGGGCTATAGTGTCTGGAAATTTAATTAGACTATACAAAGATTCTGAAGCAAACTAGTAGAGAAGAGTCTGAGAGGGCAAAATCTCAAGATAAGGGCCAATCATTTAGAACTGAGATTAGGATAAATTTCTAAACTGAAAAGGAAATGTCTCTGTAGAATTTTCTACCACACGCACAGAGGGTCATTGAAGCCACATTGCTGAATATATTTAAAGGTCTTTGGCTTCTCAGAGAATCTAAGCAAATGGGGAGAGGGTGGAAAGAGAAATCTGAGGTAGAAGATTAACTATAATTATACTGATTAGTGGAGCAGGCTCAAGGGATAGTTTGACCTGCTTTTGCTCTTATTTCCTATGTTGTAATTACAAATATATAAACACATACTAAAAACATTCCAAGTTTAAACACACTTGGTACCAGTGCCATCTGACTTCCTGTCATATTATTGTCATCTTTAGTACTATAAATTCCATGAAAATTTATAATTGGGAAAATTTATATAAGCTCTCAATGTGACTTCTGAATTTATTTCTTAATTGCTCATTTGTTGTTCCTCCATAACAGAAATTCAGGAGTCAATATCAAGGTTTATCCAAAATTGAATAAATTAACACTGATTAAATTTATCAAATGGATTCTCTTTTATGTCCTTTAATGACTTCAACCTAAAAGCGAAGATTTCAGTATGATCCTTTTCCCAGAACTGCATTAGTATAAATTAAATTCGTGTAGTTTGAGCCAAGTGCAGCCTACCAAATATTCCAAAGCTCATGAGGGAAGCTTCAGTCAATGGCAGTGAAAACTTATTTTGTTTAGTATCTGGCAGTTCATTTGAAGAAATAAGTGCTTAGACAGTAAAGTTTTGGAAACTACAATTGCAATGTGACTAGTGAGTTTTCTTCCCTTCCAAAGTCAGGTGCTTAATGAGATTGTGGCTGAAGTAGCAATGACAGAATATGACTCAGGAGGGGTAAAATAATGTAATGGAAGGTGGCCTTGTCAGTACACCAACTTAGACAACATGAATAGATGAACCACTTAATCAATATAAGCATTTCTATGTGGAGCTGACATCTGACATTTGTTCAGCAATCCAACTAGAAGAGGTAGAGATATAGGGTCGATGGTAGGTGTCTTTTCCCTAGGATGGGGGGTTTCAAGACCAAGGGGCACATTTTTAAGGTGAGAGGAGAGAGATTTAAAAACACCAAAAGTGGCAAATTTTTTTACACAGAGGGTGGTTCACGCTTGGAATGAACTTCCTGAGGAAATGGTGGTTGTGGGCACAATTACAACATCTAGAAGACATTTTGATAAGTACATGAATAGGAAAGGTTTGGAGGGATATGGACCAGGACCAGGTAGATGGGACTAGTCTAGTTTGGGATTATGTTTGGCACGGACTGGTTGGACCAAAGGGTCTGTTTCCGTGCTGCATGACTCTATGATTCTATAAGTGACCTATTTGCTTTGCATTAAGATGTAGGCAATACCAAAATTCAATAAGATGTCTATCCAAGCACTTTGCCTCCAACTAGCAGCAAATGAGCATGCTGTCAATTTCCAAAATCGCACAAAAAATACATAAAAATACAAATAAAAAGTTAGTCACCAATCTGTCACAACACTGAAATCATGGAAAATATTACCAAACTTTATTTATGATAAGTCAACAGCTGCTGGCACAATCCTATCATGGTCATGTCATAGTCCAGCAACTTGTTTTGCCTCATTATATCATGGACTGGCAATGAAGAATTAAAGGTTTACTTGTCACATTTAATAAAGGAAATTTGCCTCTAATGTTGTCCTATTTTCAACAAATAGAAAACACTATTACCTATTTCTTTGTACGTTTTTAAGTCGGGGTAGTATGAAACCGGTCGTGTTCTCATCTGAAATGCTTCCTTCACAACGTACCGCACAATAAAGATTACTGTCCCAACTTCTAAACTTCGAAAAAACCTTGGACATAGGGAGTTCCATAGAACCACTGACATCATACCTGAACAGTCAGCAACTTCAAAGTAAGCCTAGAGAAAAAAACACACATGATATAAAGCAAAACCAGAAAAGAAGTAACAGCCTGCTTTTAGGCAATATTATAAGGCAGGAATGTCCCAAGACACTATACAGGAGCATGAGATGATAAAAAGATGGCACCAAGCAGAGGAACACACACACACACACACATTTACAGTCCCTAACACAATTTAATGCCAATCAGGCATTTAGCTGGCAGTGAGGAGTCCAGCCCACTGGGTATTTGGAGCGGACTTCTCATTTCTGAAAGCTACTGACTAATCAGAGGTTGACAGCTCTCTAGCATCAACAACAAAACCATTAGCAGTTCCCACTGCCTCAACTGCACAGCTCTTCAAGCTTGAGGAAACTCTTCCTTACCTCCATGGTGCAGGCATATCTAAAAGAGTTTACCTCGAGGTTTGAAGACGTAGTACAGTCAACACAGATAAGGTCATTAAGGGCCTTGATCCTTTGTTCCTCAAATTTAATCAGAGTTGGGACAGTCACATCAGACAGTAAAATATATCCCAGGCTGCCAAGGGAAACAAAGGAAGGAATGCCAGAAACTGTCATTTTCCAATCCCCTCTGCCTACAGGGATCATGCCAGAAAATTGCTAAAGTCATACTTCTGTTTGAAAAGGGAGCAAAGAATAGGTTGACTAACCACAGTTGTGAGAAGATTGTTTTTCAGCATTTCTTCCGATAATGTAAATTGTAATTTAGAAATGCATGGATTAATCAAGGACAGCCAGCTTAGATTTATTAAGGAAAATCATGTCTGATGAACAATTGAAAATTTAAGAAGTTAACAAGAAAGCTTGATGAGAGTCGCATGTTTGAGACAGTTAGCATGGGTTTTAGTAAAGTTTTTGACTAGATCAAAGGCTGATCAGAAAATTAAAGCAAGAGCTCACACAGTAAATATAGCACAGCAAATAAGTTAAACAAAGGCACATTTTACAAGTACGGGGAGGTGGCAGCACAGTGGTAATGTCACTGGACTAGTAGTACAGAACCTCTAATTGAAGAAGTTGAAATTTCTTATTGAAATTGGGCTAATGTTCTAAGGATGTGGGTTCAAATTCCATCATGGCAGATTTTTGAATTCAATAAAAATCTGGAATAAAAAGCTAGTGTAATGTTGCAAAGACCCATCTGGTTCACTAATGTCCTTTAGGGAAGGAAATCCACCATCTTTACCTGGTGTAACCTACATGTGACTCCAGACCCACAGCAATGCTGTTAACTCTCAACTGCCCTCTCGGCAATTCAGGATGAGCAATAAATGCTGGCCTGGCATGAATTAAAAAAAACATTGAAATTTTGCAAAGGCTAAAGATCACAATAACATTGGTATACATATCTTCAGATTTCTCAAGATAAAACAGGTAGATATGATGGCTAAGATGGCATAAGGGATCATTTTCTCTGTTTTCTCAGGCCTATAGTGCAAAAGCAGGGAGGTTATGCTAGAAATATACAAAAAACCTGTTCAGTCTCAGCTAAACTATGATGCACAGCTCTGGCCACTGAATTACAGGGTCAAAATACGAGCACATGCAAAAGACCACAGAAAAGATTTAGGAGGATGTTTCAAGGAATGGAAAACTTAGCTAAACAAAAGACTGGATTGGTATGTTTATTTTGGAACAAAAAAGTCCAATGGGAGATTTCATCAAGGTGAATAAAATTATAAGGGGGCCTAGGTAAAGTAGATAGAATTACCCATTTCCATTAGTGGAGAGGTCAATAATCAAGGAGATATTATTTTCAAGTAAATGGTAAGAAGAACTAAAGGGCTTTGAGGAATAATCCTTTCACCCAGAGGGCGGTGGGAATCGGAACTCACTGTTCAAAAGGGTAGTAGGGGCCAACCCTCACTACATTTAAGAAAACGCTTTACCTACTGGGCTACTGACTAAGAGAGAATTTGGAATTAGGCTGGATACCTCTTTCTGAGCCAGTATTAACACAATTAACTTTATGGCCTTCTTTTGAGCTGTAGGTTTATAATTCTAGAGCTATTGTCCTAAAGAACTTATCACACAGCTATGCAATGATAGAATAAGGAAATGGGGAAGCATTACAGTCCACCTAATTTAGGTTCTATATATTAAATGCTAATAGAAATCTTTTGAACCATTTTGACATAAGTTTTTATCTTAAGGACAAAAACTTGATCAGTCATCTGCAAATTAATAAATTATTACATAAACAAACTAGACCAAAATACCACCCTCACGGCACTAACTTACCAGTGACTCCAACAGAGGTCCTTATTCCGTTTGCTATAACTTTTGCTAAATTTTAACATTGCATCAAACAGCTAAGATAATGTTACAAAAGTTTGAAAAGTAAATATCTGGCAATCAAGTTCTGGAACTTCCTCTGTAAGCGTCTTGGACTTATTTCTCTTCCTTTTTTAAGATGCTCTTTTAACCTGCGCCAGCCACAGATCATTAGACCATACGATTTAGAAGCAGAATGAGACCATTTGGCTCAGTGAGTCTGCATCACCCTTTGACCATGGCTGATATGTTTCATTTATATCAGCTGGTAGCACTGTTGCCGAGTCATAATGTTCCATAATTCCCTAATTTTCAAGTCCTATTCCAGGACTTCCACGCAAAATTTCCTATATAATACTGGGGACTTCGAGTGTTAAAAGTGCTGCCTTTCACAGGTCACGTATGTCTGAGGTGGACATATGATTTCATGACAAGTCAAATAAGTGATTTATTCCTTGTTTCCTGGCCAAAGAAAATCTCCTGATCACAAGAACAGATTATCTGATCACTGCTGTTTGTGTGCTTCAAAAGTAACTGGTTGTAAACTACTTTGAGACGTGGTGGTCTTGAAAAGCACTGTATAAATACAAAACTTTATTTCTTTCCTCATCTGTCCTATTCGTTCTTGGACACACTATCACAACCTGAAATTGTTACAATTTTAAAACATATACATGTTTCATTTACTTCACATGCTATAACAAAGACACATCATTTAATGATATGACGATTTGCATTTTGGTGCAATCATATGTATTGGTCGCGACTACTCAGCAAGCAGGAACTGCGTGCACAATGCTCGAGTCAGAGCAGTATGAATGACAGCATGGTAGTTATTCATGGCACAGTCTTTCTGATATGTTACTTATTTCATTATACAATCAGTTCCCTTGTGTTTGTTACAATTTGTGTGATATAATATAGTTAATGTAACTGAAGTGTTCAATATTACTACTCCTAGCTATTTGCAATCCTAAATCTAGAAGCTTTTATCCTATCACAAGGTGGTTCTTTCAACAATTTAGTTTAAAACAGTACACTTAATAGATCCTTGCCTGATAAGGCCAATCAATGTTCTTGCCAGCTGTTCCATAATGTCGTAATCTGGATTTGTACATTACTCTCACCAGTAGGGGAGCCATTTTCAACCTTCCTCTCCAATTAAATTGTAACTCCTTTAGTGTGATTATCTGCTCATCTATAATACAATAAATTTGAAAAGCAAGAGTAAATTTACATAGTAAACTCTGGTTTATTATCTGTGTTGTGGAAAATAAATACCAGAAAACATTCATTGAAGTTTGTTCCTTAATTCCTGAGCCACTGACACTGAACATGAACAATATCTCTACTCCAATTGACACACACATACATATATGGCCCAAAGAGGATTAATTGGATAACTAAAATGTACACGTTAGTTGAATAATCCAGACATTCCTCATCTATAATGTTAGCATTCAGCTGTATGCCACCAACATGCTTCTCTGTGTTGTCATGCTGCTTGTGTGAAATCCAGCCCTAGTTCAACAACTTTTCTCAGGTAAATGTTGGGAAGACTGAAGCAGTTAACCAGCCCAGGCTGTGAATTTTGTACCTGCGCCAGATTCCATTTCCTTTCATACAAAAATTAGAGCACAGAAAGAGGCCACCCATATGCATCAGCTGAATAAACTAGCTATCCACTCCAATCCCAATCACCAGCACCTGGTCTATAGTCTTGCACATTACAGTAATTCAGATCGATTCCCAGGTTCATTTTAAATGAGTTCATGGTTTCCGTGTCAACCACCACATTGGGTAGTGAATTTCAGACATCCACTGCTGGATGAAAAGACTTTTGCTCATGCCTCCTCTAATTCTCCTAGGAATCAGCTTAAATCTATGCCCTTTGGTAACTGACCTCTCCACAAGGGGAAACAAATCTTCCCTATATAGTCTATCCAAGCCACTCCATTATTTTATACATCCCGATCAAAATACCCCATTGCCTCCTCTGTTCTCAGGACAAAGACCCTATCCTGTTGAATCTTTCCACATACCTGCAACTTTCTAGCAAATCTTTGTATTCTCTCTAGAGCAATCAGGTCCTTCCTGTAATATGGTAACCAGAACTATACATAAAACGCCAGCTGCAGCCTAACTGGTGTCTTAGCTTGCTGGCTACTGTTTCAGATTGAGCAAGACTGGACATGGAGGATACAAAATATTTGGCTCTAATCGGAAGTTTTCATCTTAAATCCTTGCCATCACGTTGACCAACAGCCTCTTCTTCAATAATGTTATATGTCTCTGCCTAAGTCTATCTGTTACTGAAATGTTCATTTGTGCCTGTGAAAAATCTAAACAATTATTTTAATGCTTGCCTTGTTTAGCTGTCATCCTCCACATTAACTTTCAGCTTGTCCAAAAGTCTGCTGTCAAATCCAGTACCGCACTAAGTCCTTCCCATTCCTCAACCTAGTGTTCAGACCTTCATTAGCTCTCATTCCCAAATAGCTAAAACAAATTTCTCATCACAATTTAAATTTATTTTTGATCTTGCCCAATTCTATCGAAATAACCACTCTGAACCACAATCCTTCTTCCAGCCCCTATAAATTCAGCATTCCTTCCAGATGTTATTAATCAACCTGTTCAATTGCATTATTACACAAGTAAGTAGTAAGTGGGGCTTGAATGTCAGTGTCATGGCTGAGAGATTGGGACACTACCATTG